GTTCGACCTGTTAGTCAAATGCGTTTTGTTAAAATATACTTTTTCACTTTTTTGGTCTTTTGGAAAATGTTGTTTGTGCTGTATTTATACCCCTCTACCAAGAAATTTGTTTTGCATGCACACGTATAAAAATTGCGGTTTTTATCCAGCGCAATCATAGGTTTGAACGTCGTTTTCAATTTAGACTTGTTAATATATACCTCTTACAAGAATTTTTTTTTTGCATGCACACGTATAAAAATTGCGGTTTTTATCCAACGCAATCATAGGTTTGAACGTTGTTTTCAATTTAGACTTGTTTATATTTTTTTGTTTGGGCTTGTATTATTTTTACATCGGGTTTATATGATCCGTTCATCCTATTTTGACTCCTCAAAATTCAAGAGTCTATCCTAAATTGAGGTAAATTGTATGGCTTTCCAAATACCGTTTCGATGCCTAACATCACTGAAGAGACATTAATTGTCGAAATCCGGATATGGTGTACAAAAACCTTTGCACCTTTTGTTTGCGGTATACCATCTTTTCCGTAAGTTTATTGTTTTCTGTTTAGTATTAAATTTATAATTAAGATCCATTTATTACATCGGTGATCCGTTTATTTGGCAATCGCCAATGGCAGTCAGCAGGGTTAAAGAACATTTGTTGTTCGACCTGTTAGTCAAATGCGTTTTGTTAAAATATACTTTTTCACATTTTTAGTCTTTTGGAAAATGTTGTTTGTGCTGTATTTAGACCCCTCTAACAAGAATTTTTTTTTGCATGCACACGTATAAAAATTGCGGTTTTTATCCAACGCAATCATAGGTTTGAACGTTGTTTTCAATTTAGACTTGTTTATATTTTTTTCGTTTGGGCTTGTATTATATTTTCCTTCGGGTTTATATGATCCGTTCATCCTATTTTGACTCCTCAAAATTCAAGAGTCTATCCTAAATTGAGGTAAATTGTATGGCTTTCCAAATACCGTTTCGATGCCTAACATAACTGAAGAGACATTAATTGTCGTTATATTCTAATTCGCCAGCTCAAACGAATATAAATTATTTAATAAATAAAACAACACATAAATAGGATAAGTGTGCCTACAGGTGTAGCAGCCTTTAATATTATTTACATTCACAATTCTTCAAACTAAAGTCCTTCACTATAATTCAGACAAGCACACTACCAATCCAATCATATAATAGAATATACAGTAACACAATCAAAAACTATCTACAAAAGAGGAAAAATTCATATTAATATAGTGTAATATATATGTATATGCCCACGTTAACAATAACCAACTCATAAAAGGGGTGGGTGGGTGGGTAAACATATAACGAACTGCTGCTACGTTAACTATAGGCAAACTTCGAATAACTTTATTTTCTCAAACGAACCCCTTAAGTAATACTTAATCATGCTTTTCACGAATCTCATGAGCGCATATACCCGTAAAAACCGCATTGCGGGTATATGCCATCCAATCAAATAGAACATAAACACACACCATGTGCTTGATGTAAACACACACACGTGTTTATAGTAAACAATCACTTGACCGTAACTACGTCATGTGACCAATTATACCTTTAATAAATATATTTATATTCTAATTCGCCAGCTCAAACGAATATAAATTATTTAATAAATAAAACAACACATAAATAGGATAAGTGTGCCTACAGGTGTAGCAGCCTTTCGAAAGACAAAGAAAGCCAAGCAGATCTGAGCAAAGAATAATACACATATATAGTATATCTATAAAAATTAAATTCCCAAACTTTTAGACACTGTCAGTTTTTCTTTAACATTTTCTCTTACATAGCCATCTTTTGCTTTATCTGAAGCCCATCTACCATGCTTCTTAAATAATCTATCATGAATGCCAGCTGATGCAGCAGCAGTAGCTCCACCTGATCTCAAGCTATGTAATCCAAATTTTGACTTATCTAAACCGATAGATTCCAGAGCTGATAATATAATTTCTCTAACTCTAGTATATGACAAAGGTTTAAAACCTCTCAGTCTATAAGATCTAGATTTTTTACATAAATACATGGATCTAAATATATAATCTGAAGATGATGCATCTATATTGGATAATAACAAATATTTCTCCAACATACTAACAGGGCATGTTTGTGTATCTGTTCTAGCAATTAAAACTTGTGTGCCTTCTCTATAACGATCAGTTTTGCTTTTCTGTATGAGCAAAGAGACATGTGTATCAGCAAATTTTAAATCAGATCTTTTTAAATTTACCATTTCAGAAAATCTTAAAAACCCTGCGTAACTAATAAGACACATACAACAAATTCTAATTTCTATAAGATTGTTACATTCTTTACCATATTTATTAACAATTTTCTTTAAAATATCTGGCGTAATTGGTTCTTTTTTATTTACAATAATATGTCCAATCTTTCTATGAGCTCCTTCTTTAACCGATATACACAACTGTGAATTGCACGGATTAGAAAAGCCAGCTAGTTTGTGAGCCCAGCTTATTGAATAATATGCTTCTTCAACCTTAGCATACGAGTTAAATGTCTTTGATATGTGTATTAAGTACAATGAAACATAAAAATCTGAAGCTGGTAAAGGTTTAACATACGAATAGTTATTACACCACTTACAGAAATTGTTAAATGCATAAGAGTATTTTCTTTTGGTATTCTCGGCTTTCGAATGGAGACAGAACTCAGGTAGGCAGTTAGATAAAGATGATAAATCTTGGTCAACTGGCTTAGGCAAGGATTTCCAGACTCCACATGAAAAAATATCTGAAAAACGTGCATATCAAATAGAAATATAATCTACTATACTACTACTAGCTTACAATATATTTAAATGACCTTGCCAGATTTATTTTTCACACTGGCCATGTCAGGTGAGACCTTGCCTATTTAATTTGGCCTTGTCATCAGCATACGACCTTGCCATTAGATTGGCCTTGTCTTTACCATACGACCTTGCTCAACAGCCTTGTCGTAAATTCTTACATGAACTGAGCGTTCAATCTAATAGCTGAAACACTAGAAACGAATTCAGAAGATCCCAACAAGGACTTATTATTCATACCATGAATAAAAATGTTCTGATTTGGTTGAAATTCTAAAACATCAGTTACATAGGGTTGCAAATGCGAACCTTTTTTAAAAATCATTGTCCAATATGACGAGGAAGGCCACTTTGGAACTATCAAAGTGCCTCTAGCCTTACATAAAATCAAATGTTTGATTGCTCTACAGACAACGGAAATTGGAGGAACAATCCAATTTACTTCATTTTTCCAATTTTGCGTGAACGCATCAACTGCTTCAACACCTGGATTCCAGAATTTGGAATTAAATCTTGGTAATTTTTTATTCAAATTACTCGCAAACCTGTCCACAGTATGCGGACCCCACATATTATCTACTAATTTAAAAAATTCTTTATTTGTTCCCCAGTCTTTTATATCAATCATTTTAGAAATATAATCAGCTTTTGTATTCTTAGATCTCGGGATCCAAACAACATCTAAAGTAATATTCAATTCAGAACACAACTTAAAAATATTAATAGCTATCTCTTGTAAATGTACTTTTGCACTTCCTTTCTGAACAATGGAAACACAGTTATTATTATCTGTATGCCATTTAACACATTTATTTCTTAAACGGTTCTTAAACGACATCAAAGCCAACAAAATAGCTTGAAGTTCTCTCCATGTAGAACTCTTTAGGGACTCTTGTAAAGTCCACATCTGATGAAAAATATTAGAGTCAATATCTATCGAGTAAGCACCAGCAGCTACGTTACTGGCATCAGAATATACCAGCACGTGAGGAAAAGAATAACCTGCTAAATGTTTTCTGTTCAATCTTTTAATGTTATTCAGCCAAAATATGAGCTCATTAAATACACTATCAGGACATTCCAATATTAACTTTAAATCCCACTTTACTCTGTTTTCAATTGCCCAGTGTAAATAACGGGTCATTAAACTTGTTATGTTACCCATGACTGGACACATAGAAATTACCTTTCCCGTTACCTGAGCCAATTTACGTGCTGTGAAATTAGGAAAGTTATTCAAAATATCAACCAATGATGTAAGTGTATTATCAATCCGTCTATCTAATATACTAATTGAAAAATCAGACGAATCCCAAACTAAACCTAACCACTCTAAACATTGTACTGGCTCAAAAATAGATTTATCCATGTTAATTAAAAACCCTGCTTCTAACAAGGAGGTTTTCACGAAAGATGAACATTCGGAAGCTTCTTGTTTATTTTTACCCATTCCAAGTCCATCATCTAAGTAAAGTACAATATCTACGCCATTTTCTCGCCAATATTTTACGATTGGTCGTAGACATTTTGTGAATAGATATGGAGCAGATGATAGACCAAAGGCTAACACTGTAAAACAGTAAAATTTTTCGTTCCAGCAAAATCCTAAATATGTTTGTTGTTTAGTACATACGTCATAATGAAAATATCCAGACTTAAGATCAAATTTAAATTGATAGCAATCTTTTGTGAAATGATTTAAAGCCACTTTCCAGTCCTCAAATTTTATTCTCTCTTTTTTAATAAAAACATTCAGTTCACTTAAATCTAAAATCAGACGTTTTTTGCCCGAACTTTGAACTGCAACACTTAGCGGATTTACAACAAACGGTTGAAATGGAGTTTCAATAACACATCCGATATTCAGTAATTCTGAAATTGCTTCATTTACAAATTTAGAATGGACATTTGCAGATTTGTTATTCTTAAATGACATAGATGTAGGAGTCTGCAAAAATGGAATAACGTAGCCATGTTGGATAGTATTGATAACAAATTCATTTGCACCTATATGTTTCCAGAATTGTATATGCTTGCGTAAACTATATTTTACCCCTTTTGCAACAGATGAAATATCAATATTATCAAAATATTTAGCATGTGACAGAAACAGTTCAAACTGTCCGTAAAGATTGCTTTCATCTAAAAAAGTAGTATCAAAATACTTATCATTAACTCTGTTGCCGTGATGTCCCTGGGACAGCTGGTTTTGTACTGAAAAGGGGGCACTGAGTTCGCCAGTGACCAAGCTGGTTGCAGTTGTAACAGATGTCATGAGATGAGGGTTGCCTCCGTCTGCTGGTCCGAAAGGGCGGCTGTTGATAATTGTTTTGTCGAACATTGTGTTGATTGGGCATTGGAGCAGGAGGAGCAGAAACAGTAGCTGTAACGGTTCTATAAGGATGAGGTCTTTTCTTTTCCTTGATACTCCTAATGGCACGGCTTTCTGCAGAACGAATGCGTTTCTCATCTTCTGAGTCGGAGGCAAGGTCGTCACTCTCATATTCGCGGACGGTTTTCCAGCCTGCGGGAGATTTGTCTGCAATGCGGATGAGTTTATTACGCTTCTTAACTTTGAGGATAGCACCAGATACCAATTTAAGACATGCTGCATCTTCATCAGGAATACGCTTCTGAAGCTTAACAAGGTCGGCCATAATTTCACAATTGAAATTGAACTGTATCTGGTTACCCTCACCTTTAAGTTTAACTGACACTTCTTGCTTGAGTTTGGTAGCGAAGTTCTCATTGCCAACGGCCAAGTCTTTGTGAAGAGTAGCGATCTTCCCGTCAAGATAGGTTTTAAACAGCGAGAATGTATCCACCAAGTCGTTATTACCAGTATGATGTGCAGAACTACCATCAGGCAACGAATGTACACTAGGACCAGGCAAATATTCATGGTCAGAATCTAGAAGTTTCTCGGAGTCAGACATACCACAATAACGAACTGCTGCTACGTTAACTATAGGCAAACTTCGAATAACTTTATTTTCTCAAACGAACCCCTTAAGTAATACTTAATCATGCTTTTCACGAATCTCATGAGCGCATATACCCATAAAACCGCATTGCGGGTATATGCCATCCAATCAAATAGAACATAAACACACACCATGTGCTTGATGTAAACACACACACGTGTTTATAGTAAACAATCACTTGACCGTAACTACGTCATGTGACCAATTATACCTTTAATAAATATATAAATCCGGATATGGTGTACAAAAACCTTTGCACCTTTTGTTTGCGGTATACCATCTTTTCCGCAAGTTTATTGTTTTCTGTTTAGTATTAAATTTATAATTAAGATCCATTTATTACATCGGTGATCCGTTTATTTGGCAATCGCCAATGGCAGTCAGCAGGGTTTAAGAACATTTGTTGTTCGACCTGTTAGTCAAATGCGTTTTGTTAAAATATACTTTTTTACATTTTTAGTCTTTTGGAAAATGTTGTTTGTGCTGTATTTAGACCCCTCTAACAAGAATTTTTTTTTGCATGCACACGTTTAAAAATTGCGGTTTTTATCCAACGCAATCATAGGTTTGAACGTTGTTTTCAATTTAGACTTGTTTATATTTTTTTCGTTTGGGCTTGTATTATATTTTCCTTCGGGTTTATATGATCCGTTCATCCTATTTTGACTCCTCAAAATTCAAGAGTCTATCCTAAATTGAGGTAAATTGTATGGCTTTCCAAATACCGTTTCGATGCCTAACATAACTGAAGAGACATTAATTGTCGTTATATTCTAATTCGCCAGCTCAAACGAATATAAATTATTTAATAAATAAAACAACACATAAATAGGATAAGTGTGCCTACAGGTGTAGCAGCCTTTAATATTATTTACATTCACAATTCTTCAAACTAAAGTCCTTCACTATAATTCAGACAAGCACACTACCAATCCAATCATATAATAGAATATACAGTAACACAATCAAAAACTATCTACAAAAGAGGAAAAATTCATATTAATATAGTGTAATATATATGTATATGCCCACGTTAACAATAACCAACTCATAAAAGGGGTGGGTGGGTGGGTAAACATATAACGAACTGCTGCTACGTTAACTATAGGCAAACTTCGAATAACTTTATTTTCTCAAACGAACCCCTTAAGTAATACTTAATCATGCTTTTCACGAATCTCATGAGCGCATATACCCGTAAAAACCGCATTGCGGGTATATGCCATCCAATCAAATAGAACATAAACACACACCATGTGCTTGATGTAAACACACACACGTGTTTATAGTAAACAATCACTTGACCGTAACTACGTCATGTGACCAATTATACCTTTAATAAATATATTTATATTCTAATTCGCCAGCTCAAACGAATATAAATTATTTAATAAATAAAACAACACATAAATAGGATAAGTGTGCCTACAGGTGTAGCAGCCTTTCGAAAGACAAAGAAAGCCAAGCAGATCTGAGCAAAGAATAATACACATATATAGTATATCTATAAAAATTAAATTCCCAAACTTTTAGACACTGTCAGTTTTTCTTTAACATTTTCTCTTACATAGCCATCTTTTGCTTTATCTGAAGCCCATCTACCATGCTTCTTAAATGATCTATCATGAATGCCAGCTGATGCAGCAGCAGTAGCTCCACCTGATCTCAAGCTATGTAATCCAAATTTTGACTTATCTAAACCGATAGATTCCAGAGCTGATAATATAATTTCTCTAACTCTAGTATATGACAAAGGTTTAAAACCTCTCAGTCTATAAGATCTAGATTTTTTACATAAATACATGGATCTAAATATATAATCTGAAGATGATGCATCTATATTGGATAATAACAAATATTTCTCCAACATACTAACAGGGCATGTTTGTGTATCTGTTCTAGCAATTAAAACTTGTGTGCCTTCTCTATAACGATCAGTTTTGCTTTTCTGTATGAGCAAAGAGACATGTGTATCAGCAAATTTTAAATCAGATCTTTTTAAATTTACCATTTCAGAAAATCTTAAAAACCCTGCGTAACTAATAAGACACATACAACAAATTCTAATTTCTATAAGATTGTTACATTCTTTACCATATTTATTAACAATTTTCTTTAAAATATCTGGCGTAATTGGTTCTTTTTTATTTACAATAATATGTCCAATCTTTCTATGAGCTCCTTCTTTAACCGATATACACAACTGTGAATTGCACGGATTAGAAAAGCCAGCTAGTTTGTGAGCCCAGCTTATTGAATAATATGCTTCTTCAACCTTAGCATACGAGTTAAATGTCTTTGATATGTGTATTAAGTACAATGAAACATAAAAATCTGAAGCTGGTAAAGGTTTAACATACGAATAGTTATTACACCACTTACAGAAATTGTTAAATGCATAAGAGTATTTTCTTTTGGTATTCTCGGCTTTCGAATGGAGACAGAACTCAGGTAGGCAGTTAGATAAAGATGATAAATCTTGGTCAACTGGCTTAGGCAAGGATTTCCAGACTCCACATGAAAAAATATCTGAAAAACGTGCATATCAAATAGAAATATAATCTACTATACTACTACTAGCTTACAATATATTTAAATGACCTTGCCAGATTTATTTTTCACACTGGCCATGTCAGGTGAGACCTTGCCTATTTAATTTGGCCTTGTCATCAGCATACGACCTTGCCATTAGATTGGCCTTGTCTTTACCATACGACCTTGCTCAACAGCCTTGTCGTAAATTCTTACATGAACTGAGCGTTCAATCTAATAGCTGAAACACTAGAAACGAATTCAGAAGATCCCAACAAGGACTTATTATTCATACCATGAATAAAAATGTTCTGATTTGGTTGAAATTCTAAAACATCAGTTACATAGGGTTGCAAATGCGAACCTTTTTTAAAAATCATTGTCCAATATGACGAGGAAGGCCACTTTGGAACTATCAAAGTGCCTCTAGCCTTACATAAAATCAAATGTTTGATTGCTCTACAGACAACGGAAATTGGAGGAACAATCCAATTTACTTCATTTTTCCAATTTTGCGTGAACGCATCAACTGCTTCAACACCTGGATTCCAGAATTTGGAATTAAATCTTGGTAATTTTTTATTCAAATTACTCGCAAACCTGTCCACAGTATGCGGACCCCACATATTATCTACTAATTTAAAAAATTCTTTATTTGTTCCCCAGTCTTCTATATCAATCATTTTAGAAATATAATCAGCTTTTGTATTCTTAGATCTCGGGATCCAAACAACAACTAAAGTAATATTCAATTCAGAACACAACTTAAAAATATTAATAGCTATCTCTTGTAAATGTACTTTTGCACTTCCTTTCTGAACAATGGAAACACAGTTATTATTATCTGTATGCCATTTAACACATTTATTTCTTAAACGGTTCTTAAACGACATCAAAGCCAACAAAATAGCTTGAAGTTCTCTCCATGTAGAACTCTTTAGGGACTCTTGTAAAGTCCACATCTGATGAAAAATATTAGAGTCAATATCTATCGAGTAAGCACCAGCAGCTACGTTACTGGCATCAGAATATACCAGCACGTGAGGAAAAGAATAACCTGCTAAATGTTTTCTGTTCAATCTTTTAATGTTATTCAGCCAAAATATGAGCTCATTAAATACACTATCAGGACATTCCAATATTAACTTTAAATCCCACTTTACTCTGTTTTCAATTGCCCAGTGTAAATAACGGGTCATTAAACTTGTTATGTTACCCATGACTGGACACATAGAAATTACCTTTCCCGTTACCTGAGCCAATTTACGTGCTGTGAAATTAGGAAAGTTATTCAAAATATCAACCAATGATGTAAGTGTATTATCAATCCGTCTATCTAATATACTAATTGAAAAATCAGACGAATCCCAAACTAAACCTAACCACTCTAAACATTGTACTGGCTCAAAAATAGATTTATCCATGTTAATTAAAAACCCTGCTTCTAACAAGGAGGTTTTCACGAAAGATGAACATTCGGAAGCTTCTTGTTTATTTTTACCCATTCCAAGTCCATCATCTAAGTAAAGTACAATATCTACGCCATTTTCTCGCCAATATTTTACGATTGGTCGTAGACATTTTGTGAATAGATATGGAGCAGATGATAGACCAAAGGCTAACACTGTAAAACAGTAAAATTTTTCGTTCCAGCAAAATCCTAAATATGTTTGTTGTTTAGTACATACGTCATAATGAAAATATCCAGACTTAAGATCAAATTTAAATTGATAGCAATCTTTTGTGAAATAATTTAAAGCCACTTTCCAGTCCTCAAATTTTATTCTCTCTTTTTTAATAAAAACATTCAGTTCACTTAAATCTAAAATCAGACGTTTTTTGCCCGAACTTTGAACTGCAACACTTAGCGGATTTACAACAAACGGTTGAAATGGAGTTTCAATAACACATCCGATATTCAGTAATTCTGAAATTGCTTCATTTACAAATTTAGAATGGACATTTGCAGATTTGTTATTCTTAAATGACATAGATGTAGGAGTCTGCAAAAATGGAATAACGTAGCCATGTTGGATAGTATTGATAACAAATTCATTTGCACCTATATGTTTCCAGAATTGTATATGCTTGCGTAAACTATATTTTACCCCTTTTGCAACAGATGAAATATCAATATTATCAAAATATTTAGCATGTGACAGAAACAGTTCAAACTGTCCGTAAAGATTGCTTTCATCTAAAAAAGTAGTATCAAAATACTTATCATTAACTCTGTTGCCTTGATGTCCCTGGGACAGCTGGTTTTGTACTGAAAAGGGGGCACTGAGTTCGCCAGTGACCAAGCTGGTTGCAGTTGTAACAGATGTCATGAGATGAGGGTTGCCTCCGTCTGCTGGTCCGAAAGGGCGGCTGTTGATAATTGTTTTGTCGAACATTGTGTTGATTGGGCATTGGAGCAGGAGGAGCAGAAACAGTAGCTGTAACGGTTCTATAAGGATGAGGTCTTTTCTTTTCCTTGATACTCCTAATGGCACGGCTTTCTGCAGAACGAATGCGTTTCTCATCTTCTGAGTCGGA